ACCACGCAAATGCGGCAGCAGTAGTAGTATCACCAAATCTGTTTGCTATAAATAGACAACATAATCTAAAAGCCACAACGTTTATATTTACACCCCGCCCCAAGAAAACTACGACCCGGAGGTTTCACCGCTTCCACTCGCAGAGCAGCGACAGCCTTGAAGTTCAAAGTCGCTTGATGTCTGAGGCCAAATACTTGAAGTCGGTACGTGCGGTCGTTACCAACAGCGGACAGACGGATTCGCCTCTTACGGAGTGTGCCCGTAAAGCCGCTAGAAAGCGAGCAAAGCTTGCTACCGGAGTTCGTGCTGTGGACGTAGCGTGCGTGCACATTGTGTGTGTGTGCGCGTCTCCCATGTGCTTGCCAACGGTGTTTGCGGCCGGTGATGACTTCACTGCACACAGCCATTGAGTCCATCTAATTTTGAAAGCGTGGTTTAAGTTTGCAGATGTGAAATACAGGGAAAAACATCAGCCAGATGTGTCCCAAATGGATCTTTTTTTTTTACCATCTCAAAAACCATTATGAAACAGCTTTAATGTTACTGTATAGTACGCGTAAAGATATGCAACGCATTTATATAATTCGTGCATGTTTGAATAGATTCTAGGTGCCGTGTGCATTGTTTGCGCGCGTGTGTACGTAGTGCGGCGATTAGCGCGCTTGCGCTCCGAACCCGGCTACTCGAGTTCGATTCCCGCTCACGACCAACACCAGTGACGACTATCTGAACCGGTCCGTGGCCTCTTCTAGGTCGACTCAGCCTCAAATGAGTACCTGGTGCGATGTGTAAACATCGCCACTGGGGAGACAAAGGCGGTCGGGCGTGGTGCTGGCCACCCACCCCCTCGTGTGCCGTGCCGGCCTTCGTAGGTGCTCGCTCGCAGCACTTGCCCCAACAGTCTGTCATGGCTATACGGGGGATCTTTGTCTTTGTACGTACAAGCAGAGCAGTGGTTAGTGGACTGCGCTGCAAACCCAGCGAGCTGAATTTAATCATGCCACGGCTAACATCGGTATTAAATATCTGATCTAGTCCTGAGTAAGATGGAGACCGAAGCAGAATATATATTTTTATGATATTAATTATTTAAGCGCGTAATGCGCACAGAATGAGTGCATTGTGTAAACATCAGCACTGGGGAGACAAAGGCGGTCGAGCGTGGTTGTATATTCGTGTGTCATGCCAGCCCTCATCGGTGCTAGCTAACGGCACTTACCCCAACAGCCTCTGAAGGCTACAGGGCAGATGGTTATCATTGTTTTATTGTTTTTTGCATAAATCTAAGAGGTACTTTGGTACATTAAATGTGTTTTAAGATCACCGTGTACAGTTCAAACGTTATTCTATTGAGGATAGAGAATATTGTATTTTACATTGCAATATACACTGAAGCTGACTGTTGTTTCTATGTATATACAATGGATATTTACAGTGAACATTTTCAGTGGCTTGAACGCGTACATTCCTTGTCAGTCCACTGCTGGATGAATGCCTCCCCACACCGTGTCGGCAATGGGGGCTTCTTTAGACCATACTTCACCGCAACGGTCAGTGCGTATTGGAGAAGGCGGTAGGTTGGGGCAGGGGGGGCACAACCGCTGATGTTCGCCTGAGCCGGGAATTCCAGCTCAGGTCAGCCGATTGACAGCGCAGCGCAATAAACCAAAAACTAATCACCAGGTAAGGCCCCACTCTGAGCTCTATGGCTCTCCTTTATAAGCGACCTGGCTATCACAAATGATAGCTCAACGAAGCGGCCTATCGTGCGGAAATGTATTGCAGCCAAGTACTCTTAAACGCGTGACGTTGATTATAAATGTGGAGGGGGAAACACCGGAGGAGCCCGAGAAAAATCCACGTGGCCACGGGGAGAACGTGCCAACTCCAAGCCTACAGGCGTCAGTGTCGGGATTCGTCGCTCTGTCTCCCCAGGGGACGTCCTCTCGGACGCGTTCCGTCTCTTGGCTGCCGCTCCGTTATTTAGTCTCGACCGTCGGCCGCCATCGTCCCACCCAAGCCAACTTACTTTTCTTTGAATTACGTCTCTCTTAACGTGCCCACGTTCTCTCATCTATGTGGCTTCTCTTTCTTGCTCTCGGTGTCATCCCAGGCATGCATCTCTCCACGGTTGCGTTGGGTAAATTCACATTTTAGCTTGGCGTAATGTTCTCTCTCGATTGGCGGGTCCTTCTCAGACGAACACCTTCACGCTCGTCAATCGCGAAAATTAAATCTGCAACGTGGACTTTGATTTAAGAATTTGCTAATACTGTACGTGCGCGATTTGGCGCTCACTTAAAGTTAACTATTGTGACAGCGCGGACAAAAACATGCACAATTTATAATTGAATTTGGGGGTAAATTATGTTTCATATTTAAGATGTAATTGTTACGTCGCAGAAAGCGCGACAGACGGCGCATGGCTTGGCAGTGAATTGATAATGGCCGACCATGACGGTTTATTATTTGCACTGATTGAAATGTGCTCACGTTTTTATAATGGGACATATTTTGGCATATTTACCGAATTATGCAAGGCGTGAACGTTACATTTGATTTCACTCCGCCAACCTGAACCGCAAAGAAAACAATCACACAGCTCTTAACTAACGTGCGTTTGCAGATGATAATAAACTAAAACAATTCACTGTAATTATGAACTGAATACTTTTTTTTAAAGGGCAGCGGATTCGGCAATAGCAACATTAAATCTACTCCGTTGACCATGTTCCCCAGATTATAACGCACCCTTTCTCCCGTGCATTTTAACAACAAAAAGGTAGGGGTGCGTCCTATGGTCTGTTAGGTGTTATGATCCGGAGAATACGGTATACAGTAAAACCTTGGATTGCGAGTGACTTGGTCTGCGAGTGTTTTTCAAGACAAGCAAATTTTTTAAATAAATATTAATTTGATAAACGAGCGAGGTCTTGCAATACGAGTAGTACGTGTATACGCTTTGTCTGCCGAGCGTCACGTGATCACAACTCATACAAGTGATTTGGATTACAAACACGTTTCCGGAACGAATTATGCTCGCAATCCAAGGTTTTACTGTAGATATATATAAAATTCTCATACATTTTGTCCAACAACTTAAAACTATTTTCAATGGCTTGATTCAAGCCACGGCGCCACTTTAGTGAGATATTAACTCCCTCGCCTGGTATGCAGGAGGTCGTGGGTTCGATCCCAACCCTGATGCCTGCTGCATATTTGGAGTTTGCGTGTTCTCCCCGCAGTCGCGTATATTTTTCTCCATTGTCCAATATTTCCCTCCTCACTTGGAAACGTGTTTTTAGAGTATTTGTCTGCTATAAATTTCCACGCGATAAGCCACTTCATTTGTGGCCAGGTCACTTCTGAAAAAGAGCTATAACATTGCTCGGTGGACCTTACCTGCTAAAAGAAAAACTAGTTTAGTTTAAATAGTTTAATTTCGACCATCTGGGGTGAAGACACCCGCTCAGGGGAGAGTGAGCCTGCATCGTGCTACAGACTCAGGATACCCATCGCCCCTTCCCCTGCCGTGCAAAACGGACGACGTGACCATCGATTAAGCCCCTTGAGAAGGTTTCAATCGGAGAACGGGGAACAAAAAAGAAATATGCCGCGGCCAGCTCTGAAGGGTTTGAGGCAGCCTGGCCCGACTTCCTAAATAAACCCACGTGGCCACTGGAAAATGCACGTGTACAAACGTTGCATTAATTTGTTCCATCTGAATTTGCGCTTAAATGCAATTTTCGTGAAAGCGTCGTTCGTCGGTAACATTTGTACGTTTAATTAATTTGCGTTGTACCGAGTTTTCTCAGTTCCCCCAGCACGTCTCATCTGCGTCTCAGTCGTGCCCCACTTGTGTAACCGTATAAATAATGAAAAAAGTAAGGCTTTTATAACGTCGCTAAAATATCGCTTCCTTAAAATTGTAAAGGGGAAAAAAAATGCGCGCGCAAATCCACATACACACCACACACATTTCGATTTAAAGCTTTCGTAACTGCAGGGATTCATCTTCTTGGTTCTTTCGGTAAAGTCACGTAGAATGGAAATAATAAAATAATAAAAATAAAGCATCTCACGCGCGAGTATCTCGCACTTTTTGTAAACAGTCGCGTTCTGAAATGCCCGTACAGTGTCACTCTGAAAAGTGTCGCTTCCTTAAAATTGTAACAAAACAAACCCCCGCACACAAACGAGACGACGCACGATCTCTCTTCTCCACCGTTACTTTTTTTTTATCCCAGTCTTGTTACCATCATTCTAACACCCTTTTACAAAGGGGCGCTGCGGTGGCGAGATGTTAACTGCCTTGCCTGGTATGCACTCGGTCGTGTGTTTTATCCCGACCCTGACGCCTGCTGTGTATTTTGAATTTGCATGTTCTCGCCCTGGTCGCGTGGATTTTATCTCCCGGGTCCTCCGGGTTTTCCCTCTACACTTAGAATCAACATCACGCGATTAGAGTATTTGGCTGCTATACATTTTCACGTGATAAGCCACTTTGTTCAGCTATCATTTGTGGCCAGATCGCTTCTGAAAAAATAACTATACAGCTCAGTTGGCCTTACCTGGTATAAAAAAAAATGGAATTGTTTTCTTCATTTCAAAGCTTCTCAAATGTTGCTTCCTCAAATTTAGACAAAATTTTTTTTACTAAAAAAATCCGACTCGTGCAAACCAACACAACGCACTCCCTCTTCTCTCCACCTTGGGTTTTCGCGTTAAATAGTTATTGTTACGCATCTTTTACAAGCCGCCTCTACAACTCCTCGAAAAATTTAGCTTCCTTTAAAACTGGAACGAAACGACCAAGAAAAAACCCGCACGTACACCCAATGCACGCACGCACGCACGCTCACCCTCCTTTGGCGAAATCGCCGTAAGACGACGCTTTATATATCCAAAAACAAAAACCGCCACGCGCAAGCACCACGTGAAAAGCGGTCAGAGAAGCGTCGGCATTGGCCACGCGCGCTCGGTGGTTTGCGTGCACTCACCGTAGGGCCGCGCCTGTGGTCGCTCCGCTTATCTCGTGGTTGCCCGGCGGGGTGGCCCGGTCCCCAGTGCAAGCGCCGGTCTCGTGCCGCCCCAGCAACCGCAAAGCATCGACCGAACCGCCCGCGATGAGCTGTGACGGTCACCGCCCGCCCGCCCGCCCGCCCTGACCGACCCACGGAAAGTCAAACGACCTCCGCCCTTCCAAACTGATCCAAAATAGCAACAACCAAAAAACGGACGCGTGGTTTTCGAGGCTTTTGAAGGAGCTGGACGACTTCAAAAGAGTTCCCAAAAAAAAAACTTCTGACGTCTCGACAAAGTTCTCGGTTACCTCGAAAGGGCAGCGAACGAGACGTCGCCAAGACACCGATTTGGTTTTTTTTCCGCGCTGGCAGCAGACCTGGCTCAACCCGTGCGTTGCGGCTTGGTGTGGCAGGAGCGCAAGGTGGATTTGTCCCAATTGAAGAAATGTTTAGTGGTTTGGGGACACCACGACGGCCCTTCGCACGGGTCTCGTTTGGCTTTTCTCGGTCTCGAAGCTTTCTCCCCCTGTCCTGTGTCTATTGCTCGCTCGCTCGCTCGCTCTCTCCGTCTCGCCCACCGCTATAATCTAAAATTGCCTCGCTCGCAGGCAAGAGAGAGAGGGGCGTGTGGTTGAGAGTGGATCCTGATGGAGGAGACCGTGGCTAGCTGCTCCCGCTTTGTGGTTCACTGGCGGTTTTGCGTTTGCACGCGCTGCCAACCTAACCCCAAAAAGCCACCGCCTCGGAGCCATTGGACGGTTGTTGGCCACGTGACCTCCGTGACATCGTGGCCGCAATCCACTCCCACCCGCTCTGTGAGCTGTGAGGCTACTCCCACACCCCCCCCTCCTCACAGCCCCCCCACCACCACACTCCTGCCACAACGCACTCTTGTGACCCAAAATACGTGACCCCCCCCCCCCCCCAAAAAAAAAAAACAGGGAGGAGATTTTTCAGGACGCCAGTTGAGCGAGGCTCAGCCGGGTCGCGTCGCTCCGACGTGCACAAGAACGTGCACGGCGGACGCTTCAGCAATTTCAAATCCGCAATCGAGATTTCGGGTGTTTGACGAATGAACTTGGGGGGGGGTTTGGGGTTGGGGGGGTCAGGATTAATTCAGCGTAACTTTGAAAGGCTGTTGTCCTGCGCCTGAAGCATCCGCGCGATCAAATTAATTTATTTTATGAGCAAACGTAGCGCCGTACTTGGTCGAGGTTGAATTGTCACGCTCCGCAGAGTTGCAACAAATATTTTAAAAGTTGCTACCAATTTTTTTCCCTTCTTCTGGCGTGGGTTGAGTCAGGAATGACAGAGGCGTGTGCTTCCCATGTTCGTAAAGGCCTACCCGTCCGCTGCAGCGAGGCACAAACCATATGCCCGACAATCCCACTCTGGTTGCAATAAGTGAAGGAGTGTGAATGTGATCTGGCTTATTCTGGACTTTGATCAAAGCGCATTTAAATTCCTATACGTCATTGATTTCACATGCGCACGAGGTTTGCTTTATGTTTACATCCGTCGCATTTTACTTTAAGAAAACTCACGTGATTATTGTGTGTGTAATCGTATACCGAGTACATAATACACACCAACGCACGCACGGCGGTATTATGTTATGTGATAATGATTTACAGGCATCTGTCACATCTGCTGCTAGATGGAGTCTCTCCCCAAGACGTCGCCATCTCTCACAATCCCCCCCCCCCTCCTCTCTCTCTCTCTTTGAGAGCCATCTCCTTTCTCAAAGACGTCAGCGATCGTGGTCTTCCTTCCATGGAGCTCCAGCCACGATGTTTACTCAACAACTTGGCATTCGCTACTCTCTTCACCAGTTTGCGTCCAGTCGCTCAAATTGATTTTGTGCTTTTAATTCGCTGCCTCCCCCGGCTTCTTGTTGTGCCTCTAATGTTCCCAGTCACAATCCGACAGTGTAGTAATTCACCGATCGCCTACGCGGAAGAGCTAACTTCATCGCTCCGTCTCCCCAGTGGAAGCTCTGTCGGGCGCGTCCCATTCCTTGTTAGCCACTCGGTTACTCATCCTTGACCGTCGGCCCTGCCCAAGCCCATTCGCGTTTATTCAAAAGTTTATTTCACGATAATTTATTGAATCGCCTGCTGGATGAAGGCCTCCCTCCACGCCACGATAGCCATGGAGGTTCATTTGACTGCCGTTCAGCGCCCTGGTTCAACGCCGGCTGGTGACGGGGGTCGTGGTTGGCCGTCCTGGACCGCTTCGGATTGCACTCAACGCTCACCGCTAAGCCACGGCTGGGAATCAAACTCAGGTGGCCCGGTTTTGTAGCGCCACCGCTCTCCCACGATAATTTATACGTGCGTGCTAAATTCTAAACTAAAAATGTAATAAAATGAATTAACGATTTTGGGCCCGGGTAAATTACCATACCCCGTGGAAAATGCAGCGGTTCAATTGAAAGAACTGTACTTGCCGTGCAATGAGATGCGCGTTTAAAAAGTTGACGCAAGATCCAGCGAAGGTACCGTGTGACACGCAATCTGTTGTTCAAAGAACGACTCCCTAAACTGCTTGTGGATTCGTGATTTTCAGCTCGCAAATGTCTTAAACCTCTCCCATGTCCCTTTACATCTCTGCAGCATTAGTCCACATGCAGTATATCGTCATCATTGTCATCGTCGTCATTGGCCATGGCCAATCCACTGCTGGATGAAGACCTCCGCAAAGTCACCGCCACCTCTCCAGACTCGGTGATGCTTTCCTAGTACAGTAGTAGAAATAATAATAATGGTGGTGATGATGAGGATCATGATTCTGCATTGTTTAGTCTACATCATTAGAAATTTATATTTGTATAATGACTACAGTTCTGTGATAGTGGTTCATGCAGGTCACTTGTGCACCTGGCGTTGACCTGAGTTCAATTCCTGGCCATAGCTACATCAGTGCTTACCCAACCTTACCAACACACACTGACCAGTGTAGTGAAGTATGGTCAAACAACCCCCCATCGCTGACATGGTATGGGAAGCCCATCGTGCGGCAGCGGATTGACAAAGTCTGCCAATAATATGATAGCTTTTAAATTCATCATCGGCCAACATCAATGCACTGCTGGATGAAGGCCTCCGCAAGGCACCGTCATCTCTCGCGATCCGGCGACGTAACAATCGGCACACGAGCCGATGTCGCCGCTCCATCTCCTCCCCCCCCCCCCCCCCGGTGCCGCTGGACGTGTCGCGACACCACGACGCTGTCGTCGCTCCAAACTTTTTCGATCGCAGACATTTCCGCTCATCCTCACAGCAGCAGCAGCAGCCGGCTTTTGACTCAGCCATCGAACAAAGGCGGCGGTCACCGCATCGTCATCGCGCGCTTTCAGATGCGCTTCTGCGGCTGTCTGGAACGCTCTTCCTTCCGATATTCACTGGAGCTATGCACTCTTAAATTATCTCGATGGGAAACACATTTCTTTAGAACAATTTTTTTGTGTTTAGTTGTCCTTCCCCCGCACCTCCGATTAGCACGGTTGGCTACGTACGCTACTCAAGAATTTCAACGTACGTGCGTACATTTCCTTTCACCTGTTCCGTTTGGAGGTGAGTTTAACCCGGTGCCATTTGACATCCTCTGTGTCAATTGAGTGCAAGCAGCACAAGCTCTCGGTTGTGCTCTTTTCCGTGCCCCCCCCCCCTTGCCCCCACCTCCGCAACATTTACATGCGCTCACTTTCGCCAAACACAATCGCGTATCCATTTGGACTTTCATTGATTGAACTCCCCAGGAATACACAGAAGCCTTTTACAGCAAACATTGCATTAGCAGGGCCAGCACCACCACCAGCACCAGCACCACCACTACTGCCATCAGCACGGCTGTGCCCAGCTCTATTCATCATATCTCCCATCAATTATTAATCGGCATTGCAGGCCGAGCGAGCACCTTGATGTATTTACCGATTAGCCGTGCGTTCTGTGTGTGCGCGTGTGTGTTCGTGTGTTGTTTTTGGCCGGGTCGCTATCGCCACTCGGCGTTTGGACCCGCGTGTAATTTATTGCGATGTCACAAATTACGGGCGGGCGTTCTTTTTTTTTTACAGCTTTGGGGAGGGGGGGGGATTTGTTGATCGCCCAGCCGGCCTCGTGCACTCGCGCGTAAGAGGGCAGTCACCGGCGATTGCCCAGCCACTCGGGGGTGTTATTTTATGATTTCAGTAGCACGCTTATCTCAAGCAGTTTGTACTTTATGGTTTTATAAAGCCAAAGAAAATAGCCCGAGATAATGTTTTTTAATTGATAGAGGTGAAGGTGCGCGTGAGGGAGCGGTCCCTTTCCACCGTCTCCCTCACATCTCTTTAGAACTCCTGTCTGTGTTTAGTTTGTTGTCCTTCCACCGCACCTCCGATTAGCACGGTTGGCTACGTACGGTGCGAAAGAAGTTCAACGTACATACACAACAGTGCAGCCCTCACATTGCTCACTCACGCCACTGCGGGCGAAATTTCTTCCACTAGAGGCAGCTCTAGAAAGCCTCTCTGGAGGGAAAATTTGGCCTACTCTTCCACGCTGACCAGATTTCCTGGAAAATAAAACTCAACTATTTTTTTACTTTGCCAGGCAAGGCCCACTGAGCTATAGAGATCTTTTTTCAGAAGCGACCTGGCCACAAATGATAGCTCAACGAAGTGGGTTATCACGTGGAAATTTATAGCAGCCAAATACTCTAAACACGCGACGTTGATTCTACCCGGAGAAAAATCCACGCGACCACGGGGAGAGAGACATGCAAACTCCAAATATACAGCAGCAGGCGTCAGGGTCGGGATGGAACCCACGACCTCCCGTATACCAGGCGTGGTCGTTAACATCTCACCCTCATACTTTAACGACACCACACGTGACCTGCCGATTGACAAATCGGGGTGCGTCCAATGTGTACAGCTGGCTGGACAGGAGTATGGGGTATTTTAAGAAACTTTCACCATTGCCTGAACTGGCATGCCGAGAGATCAAAGCAGTAGCGTTTGGACCGCAATTCCAGCATGCTAACCACACTCTGACATGACAGAATGCACTTTAAATTGATGACAATTATTTACCTGGGATAATACTACTGAGTCTCAAGATTATTTTGCAGGTGGGTC